GAGGGGATCTCTGAAATTTTTTTACGCGGAGAGAACAGGGTAGATGGGTAGTGCACACCAGACAGTTGTCTCAATCCATGTAACCTTCAAAATCTATTTAAGCGACGTCACTTCGATTCCAGGACTCCTGATATTGAACTTAATTTGTAAAGCCGAGTTATGAAAAGTGAATTATCAACTATAGCAACGTTGTCTCCATGTGTGTCGGACGGCTGATGTCTTCCACCATTATAGCGACAGCCCCAGGAACCTGTACGCAGGTGACTCCCCATTCATTACGGACAGCCGACAGGAACCTGTACCGCCATGACTCAATCGGATGGTGTACCTTCGAAGCTGGTAGAAATATGCAGGATTTTTTGATATTTGAAAGGCATTGGCTGGAAGATCTTGAGAATATTGTACTGTGGGTCTTCCATGTGTCCTACCACCCTGTGCGAAGAAAAGTTGATGATGTCTTTCATGATAGGACCGCATTTTTTGTTGTCCCAGTTATGAGCCCTCGAATAACTATCTCCTTCAGAAAAAGGGAAGTTCTTCAGAAATAGATGAAAGATAGAGAGATTACCCCATATTTCTCCGTGCGATAAACCACATTATAACACAGATAAAAGCGGCATACATATTGCAAGAACATAGATGGCACAGTTGGGGATCAACGTTATTTCGATAAAACATTGAAGGTCGAATCGAAAAGAGTACGAGATGGGGTGAAGTTCGAAGGAAGAGCGTGTTAGGCGTTGAAAATGGGTGTTGCACATATAGTTTGGGATGACCTTATAATTACTTTTTCGCACCTCGGCATACTTGCCAGTGGGATACCCCCAGATTAATTGCTTACACGCTGACTGGTGACCTCTCATCAAGTTAGCTTGACTATTGAGTTAATGAGATAAGATAAGTGAAGAGTTGCATACTAGAATGAATTTTTCAAATCAGGGTGAGTAATCCCACTGTGTATAATTCGCTAAGTTTATTTGTTGGTGTGTGGGTGTTTTTTTGAGGAAATCCATGAATTCCTTTGATTCAGCCGGAGAGAGTTCGAATTGGTAAGTGATACGGGGGAGAGGGGGGGGGGGGGGACGGGGATATGAACTTCATTGGTGGGTGGCAGGAAGTGATATTAGCTGACAAGGGATGATAATGGGTGTTAGGTGAAGGTCGCCAAGTTCATAACGTGGGTTTCAGCAGTGCGAGCTGGATGCTTAGTCCTAAGATGACATAGTGAAGGCGTATGGGATCATGAATAATTATTTATGGTGCAGGAACGCATGATCTAAAAGGGCGAAGCTGCAAGCGTACGCCGTCACAGTAGCAGCAGGAAATTGGTTCCAATGAGTGATATAGTGGATGTGACGGGGTTATTACTGATGGGTCACAGAGAGGGATAACAACTGATAGGGGCAGATAAGAGGCGTTACCCTCTTCCACACTACCAAATCATAAAGATTTTGTGGTAATGGATCACGGGTGTTGACAAGGGATTATATCAAATGATAGGCCGTAAATAAGAGAGTAGATGAACTTATTCCTCACTAATTTTTTTGACCCGACTTACTCTAGATTCACCGTATTTCAGGCCAAGTATACAGCACCTATTGTTTTACTGCACGTCCAACCAACGGGAGGGGGAAGGGTAGTTCACGTGAGGTCTACACCACAAGCAAGAAAAGAATCAGCGATAATTATACGAGAAAGAAAAAAAAACTTAGCATTAACGCGATTCACTATGGTAAACATTTCGCATTTTTTTTTTCGCGCCAGGCGCGCAGTAGTGTGCGCCAGCCAAACTGGTGTTTCAATAAACAAAGTAATGAGGTTTTTATTCATTCCATATCTCGTTATTCTGTCTTGAGTGAGCCTGGCAGTGAGAGGTCACCAGTCAGCGTGCAAGCAATTAATCTGGGGTATCCCACTGGCAAGTATGCCGAGGTGCGAAAAAGTAATTATAAGGTCATCCCAAACTATATGTGCACACCCGTTGAAAATGATCCGCTGATCGCGCCAGACCTCTGCTGTGAAATCACTGTTCCAGAAATCAGGATTAAAGCCTACGGCTACGAAAGCCAGTTATTCGGATACCTACTGTCTAATGAACCTAATATATCCGGTGTTTGTCACACGAGAGGATTCTGAATGGTAGCAGCGAGTGCGTCCTCTAGGCCGTAGTTGGTGAGTCTTTTCTCCCTCTCTCTCTCTCTCTCTTCTTCCTTTGGCGCTGCTCATATGGGCAGCTTTCTCTCTTCCTCAGGACTTTGGGTAGCTGCGCTTTAGCAGAACTGCATTCTCTCCCATACAGTCGCCAGTTTTCTAGTCTCTCTTGAGTTCCTCTCTAGCAACGATGGCCACAATGAGGCCTCTAGATGAGCTCGCGTTGATCAGCTTTAATTTCTATCGCACTTTTTACTTCTGTCAACTTTTCGAATTGATTGAACTTCATTTCTGAACCACCCCCCACCAACCAACATCAAACAAAATTTCTCCCGGCTAATTAAAATACCTTCCCTTTCTTGAGAAAACAGTTCTCCCTTCGATCCATCTTTGACCATCATCTTGCCGGTTTTGTAGGAGGCTTCCGTTCTTTTCTTAGTGTCATTTACAGTGAAGTAACAAGTCAGCATCGCAAAAGCGGACTACCTACTTCACGGACCGGCGACAAATTCCGCGATGCGCATCCAGTTACCGACACCATCTCGACGGCTACCGCATACAGGGATTCAGAACTTTGTGACTAACTCGGCATGGCGGAGATTGTTTTCCAACATAAGCTTACACATAGTTCGGTGTACACGGCGTCCTTCCATCGCTCTTTCCGTACGATCTCATCTTATTTTCTGCGGAATGTGCGCATTACAATTAGTCATCCGCGCTCCGCCTTCGTCTGCGCTCGCAAGTAGCGTCATCACCGAAGCGAATTCGAACAACTCTTAGTGATTCTGTCTATTCCATCTGTATTCAACCTTATATCAGTGTATTCTGTCTTTATTCAGCCTCATGCGGTGCATTTCTCATAGTATGCCAAGGGGCTCATATAAAACGTTGGTGTGCGCACGAGTCGCTTACTCCACCGCTATATATCTCTTGTTCTTCTCAAATGCGCAGCGCCGTAATTTCCTCGAGAATATTCTTACTCTTGTTGCGTTTCTTCCTCTCTTTGGTGCGAAGCGCCTTACACTGCGGTTTGGGTTGAGTCGTATTCAATGTATTTCTGTTTTGTTCTCGTTTAATAACCCTAACTTAAAGTTTGGGGATTTAATAACCCTAAGTTAAAGTTTAGGGATAAACTCTTCGAGGCCACTGTGTTAGCGTGCTGTAGCAAGACTACTTGAACCACCAACAGCAATTCGTACAGGTCGACAAACTTGTCGCATTCAGTCTGAGAGGCATCGACTACCTCAGGCGAGCAGCTGATTCATCGATATTCCACTCTGCTCCGGAACCACTGATTCTTTTTTAGGCCTTCCTCAATAGTTGAAGGACTATCACTAACTTGAGGACTTCATCCTTCGTCAACAGTACAACGTTATTCTCTAGTCGTCGATGTCGCAAGGCATACCTGTATACAGGATATCGTTAGAAGCAAGTAACAATAAGAAGTATCTGCCAGTAGCGGTCAATAGCCGACCAGGATCACTGGAACGACTGCGAAAGCGAGTTCCGGTAGCACTTCAACTTTGATGACCATCTAATCCACTGTATCCTGAGAGAAGGTTTTTTTCTATTCTTTCGTGTCCCAGTGTCAACAACTCCGCGCGGCCACTGAGAAAAGCACTACAGCACTACAATGTGTGAACTACTCCGAAAATTTCATCAGCACAGTACGAGCAATCTCTTTGCTCATCAAGCGGAACATAATGTTGAGCATTTTCTTGATCGTTTTTGTTTCGTCAGGGCTAAAGGCAGAGTCGACTCAAAAAGATTTGAGACCAAGAGAGCATTTACGATGTGTACAGGGTAGAGTTCAGCTACTCTCATCCCACCACGACCATCATGAACTGTGTGCCGAAGAAATTTGCTTAACATTCAATACTGCACGAGTAAATGAAACTATACGGTTCCCACCTCAAGTGGTTCTTCCACGAACACCTTATTCAATGGAAATTCCAAGAGAATGGCACAATAAGGACATTGGAAGTGACATGTCCGGCGGCAACATTTTGCGAAAACATAGACTGCACTATATGCGCTGCGGTACTATTCAATCCAGAATGCTGGCCTGTAGGGGCACTCATCGTCAGCGCAATTTTGCTTTATCTCTTACTGATGGGATGCTATGTTTTCTTCTATGTACCGCTGGTACTGGGGAGACCTTTACGCGTTCTTAACGAGTCTGATGTGCGCGAGTGGCCCGCTTCTTGTTACGTGTTCTTTTCACGAGAACTTTGAGAAGAGGACGACAGAAAGGGATGGATTTGGCACAACTACTCGCGATTTTCACAGTCTTAGCCATACTTCTCTTACCATTAGTGTAAAGTTGCCAAGAACTGAACGTGTTCACTCACCATATGACTGAGTGTTCGACTGAAAAGAACATCTGTAAAGTTCGTGTGTCGGAAGTATTAAAAGTCAATTCCCTTAAAAGGGAGGCATGCTTGAAATTACGAGGCAATTCTACCACACTGCGTGAATTTCGAGTTACATGGAAGTCGCTCCTTCTGATATGTGAATCCGCAGGGCATGCTTCTCAGCAGAGATACAACATACCATGTAAACGATAGTAAGCGGTGCCCACGCACAGGCCCTTGTGTCAACGAGAAATGCACGCCAATCAATAGGTCATCGGTCGTGCCCGAACTGAGCGAAGGAAATCAATATCCTGGCGTAACCTCATGTGTAGAGTCTTGCGGAGGGCTATGTTGTGATTGCTTTTGGTGGGGTTCAGGATGTCTATTTTATCGCGTCTACCTTAAGCCCAATGCACAACAAGTATACGAGGTTTTCAGGTGCACAAGGTGGACCGAAGCAGTGAAGGTCAAGTTGAAACATTCGAACGCACTTGAATGGGAAAACCAGTCCTATGTAGCCCTACTGAACCCATATATTCCGCTAAGTGGTTATCATACTCCTTTACACTGAGTTTGGCAGCAGTACCACCTCTTCCATCCTTAAACGTTCCCTTTATAACGGATGGACACCGCTCTGTGGGATTCACATCTAGGTGCCTCCACTTCAGTGCTCTACCGCGGATGCAGCCGACAAACTCCAATGTGAAGTAATGGAAAATTGCGTGTGCAATCCAGCAGAAACAAAAGCGAATTGCAACTGCAGGGAAATTAATATCTCCGCTTGGTTCCAGAACTTACAAAATAGGCTGCCTGTAAGAACACCTTCTCTTACTTTCTTCAGAGATAGAGAAGGGAAGGGTAGTAGCTCGCGCACCGTCAATGACTACATCTGAAATCATACTGTCGCTTGACGAAGATCTAGAGACTGAGCTCTTGGTTGAGGAATCGATATGTCGAGTAGATGACGCGTTTTTGATTGGGGTTACAAATGCTCAAAAGGAGCAATAGCGCAAGTGACATGTAGGTCTTCGACACCAACGCAAGCGGAATCATTCGTGGAGAAACGAGTTTTACGATCATGTGTGATGAGAAGAGACAGCAATCGACCCTACAATTCAGCTTTTCCCAGGCAAGAGTCCATATCACGTGTTCAGTTTCATGTGGTTCTACGCAAACGAGTTTGAACTCAGTGGTATTCTGAAATTCACACAAACGGCTCACGCGATAGCAAACTATTGGATTGAGGGAACGAGTAACACCGTGTCAGAAGTAGGGCGACCCGATTTTGGCCATATACTGGATGTTCTCATGCAGTGGAACAAGTCGATATTTTTAGCAATAATAGCGGTTTTGATCGCGGTGGAGCTCACGTATGTGTTTCTTTTTTACGTGAGCGTTGCATTTGTTTCATGAGCCGTCAGCTTTTTCGAGTATATCGGCACTGGTTTCGCGTGTTTTTTCGGATGCTTGGCTGGGGAAAAAGCTGTCGCACTGCATCCACAAGAAGCGGTATTGCTTTTTTCGAATGCTGCGCAAATAAAAGCAATCAATTAGTTCCACAGCTAAATGGAAGATATGCAAAAACTCATGTAGTTTGGATAGATTATACCTTCAATTTCATTGTAATCTCAAAGGGGAAGATCACACAACGCGTTTCTCACAATTTCAGAATGGCGAGTAAGGAAGAAGATGGAAATATCGGCCTGTTGGAAAATCTGGCAAAAATACGCTCATTGGACCCCCATCAAATTCAGGATGAACTGGAGATGGCAGTAGTCTCGATACATCGTCAGAAAAAAATCGCCACTACAATTATCAACCAGTGGAATCATCACAAAAGCGAAGATTCCTTCCTCTGCTCCTCGGCAGCAGAGCAAATGCGCCTGACAACACACTGTCTTCGCGAGGCGGAACTAACGAAAGAAAGGATCTGGAGCGAAACTTGCTACTTTTTGTAAATATGGTCAGAAGGTTTACTATTCATTTCTTAGCTGTATCGATTACTTTCAGGGAGATTTCTCATCACTAGGCTGAGCTGTAGAAACATTTGTAACATTTTACAGATGTTTTCCTGAGATGTAGAAACATTTTACAGATATGTTTTCATTCGAAGCGAGATCGACGAGATGCTGCAGTATAAAAGAGCGTCACGCCGAGCTTCGCGGGTTCCGTCCACTATCTTCTGCTTCCATATCGCCTGCACCGCTGTATTCTGTAGGACATCCTATTCTTATTGTTCATATTATTGTATTTCAATAAATGTTTAGTGTCTTTTTGTAGAATACGATATTCTGTATCAATATTCCCTCGGATATACGATATTTCAATAACTGCAATATTCAATATCTACAATCAATATCCGGTGGCTCGACACAGACTCAACATCCCATCAATAAGGTACGGTTAGTGCTATAGCCAGACTTAGCTTACCATTCAATAACTTTAGGTCTGGTGCATTTTCAACTAAGCTATATATTCAATACCGCGTGGCCAGCCAAGAGCTGAGAAGGCGAGCGTATTTTTCCCCACAGGATCCTTCGCATGACTACGCGTTTCTTCATAATGGACATTCTCTACGAGTATATGACAGCTTGGGGCGATTCTCCTTGTTTTGAACGACTAGATTGGCTGGCAGAAAAGCGCGAGTACGATATAAAATCCAGAAAAAGTTCTCGAGTTGATTCATGACCAGACAGACGCCCTAGAAAAGGAAATCAACGACATGAATGCGATGCTGGAACACAGGAAGAGGAAATGGCACAGCAAGACCAACTGACTAGTTTCCAGGTTCAGAGAATAGTTCAGAAAGAGATCGAGTTACTGAAAGGTCAACTCAGCACGCGTTCCGAGTTACAGGCGTTAGAAAGGAAGGTGGAGGCCCAGCATGACGAAATAGTCCGCCTCAAAGCGACCAGTGGACTACGGAGAACGAACCCGCACCCCTTTCCGATGGAAAAAGAAGGAAAGACCGAGGTTGTAGCAGAGGAGAGAGAGAAATCTCCAAACCCCGTAGCAATTGAACAAGAGGGCGAGTTTGAGGATGATGATGAAAGTCACTGGCGAAGGATGGTAAGAGAGGTTGCTGACGAGGAAGAACCACCCTCGAAAAATCCGAAAACCGACGCGTGAGGATTTCGCGTAATAATCTGGAACGAGTTCTGGCCCGAATGGAGCATGGCATCAAAGTGTTTCCTTTCCGCGATCCTCGCGATCAATCCTCCGGCATCACACAGTGGAGAAACTGCGCGTTTTGCGAGGAAGAAGGCATGCATTTCTCTGACGCGTGTCCTCGCGTACGAGATGGCGACACTCGATACAATATGATTCTAAGAAGAGGATGGTGTACACATTGTCTCGAAGGATCGAGAGATACCGAGCGGGGGAATGCTGGTATTGTTGTCGAGTGAGAGGGACTGTATTTGAGGACTTGCGTCTGGACAATGACGAATTCCACCATCGATCGCTTTGTAATGTGCCCGAGTAAGACGTATTAGCATTCACGAATTAGGACGTTCAGCGGGAGCTGTGGAGGCGTACGACTGGTCAAGGAACCTCGAGAGATGTATGACGATGACGATGACGGTGACGCCGGAGTGTCGACAACGTCGACGAGAAGCATGATTGTTTGTAGCTTGTCATACTGTAACTGATTGAAAGATAGATAACTGCTGTAGAATGTTATTCATTTCATACATAACTCGTATATAAGCTGAGGAAAGATTGAAGGGAAAAACGGTTGTTTGGTAGGCGCTACAGAGTGATCGAGTTAGCCAGCATTAGACGATTCTCCGTTTTGTGGCCGATACGTCACTGCGGTAAGGAGCCCTTGTGACTGCTGTGGATCTACACACGGCTCATGACCTGTTGGACAATTCTGATTGACTGCGAATTCATTCACACCTCAAGAAATTAAACGACTCAATAGGTGTAGGTACGCCCCTGCGCCGACTCACAACTTGGAGTTTGAGTCCAGTTCCCAACTATCTGCATGGCTGAGTCATCTTACGACTAGGCTAGGAAGCCCTTTCTGCAGCGCTTTCGCAGCTTGTCGTACAATCGTGGGCAACGGAACTCCTTCACAGATTTCTGAGCCAGTAATCATAGCCATGTCATCCATTTCCCACATGCGTGGCACATTTACATCGGAGACCACCATCAGCTTCAATCTTCGATTGCCTCCGTCCTCGATGGCAGCACGGCTGCGAACTCGAGGCATCATGCCTCAGTGAGGATATGCCGTTGCACCTTCGGTGACCACGTTCAGAGCTCATCCACCTTCAGTCACTTACCCACTCTTCTGATTTATAGAGAGACGCTCGTTTACGGAATACCAACCTACATGCGCAGTTGTCCTATCCGTCGTGTTCCACTTCCCAGCACTTCGCCTTCGCCTGCCACAGCATCTCGCGACTGTCTTACTTTATGTACCACTATAATGATGACGAATACTGATACTGTCGGGACATCATCCGCGTTCTTCTAGACCGGCCTCAATATTCCATCGAGATCACAGAGTTCTAC